CACTCACAAACACCATTCCACACCCATCCACCCACACTCACACCCATACACATCCACCCCCCACATACCCCTTACCTCTCCTCACCCCCCCATCATCTCCTACACCCACATACACACGCAGTTACTACCTCAAGACTTTCACTCCAGCCCCCACCATCCCTGGAAGGAAGATTCTTGCATCTAAGTCCCCATCATTCTGTGTGCTGGTTAGTCTTAATTATTACAACTTGACAAAACATAGATGAAGCTGGGAAGAAAGTCTCAGTAAGAGACTGCCCGGGTCACGTCGTCATGTGAGCATGCCTCGGGGTGTTGTCTGCACGTGGGAAGACCCAGTCTGAAGTCAGGCCCCACTGCGCGCTGGCTTGTGCTCCTGCGCGGTGTGGGTGGAGAAGGCGAGCGAGCAGAGCTCCGAGGAGCCGTGGTTTCTGGCTCCCAACGTGATGGTGAGAAGACAGCTGTTTCACGCTCCTGCTGTCGCCTCCACTTCCCTGCCTTGGCGGATTACAACCTGAAGTGGTGAGCTGAAATAAGCTGCCCTAAGTTGTTTTTAAAGTCTGCATATTTTACTGCTATGACAGAAATGAAACAAGACAACCGGCATGCCCCAGCGCGACCCTCTTCTTTAGGCTACCAGAGGAGAGGAAGCTCTTCCTAGTGCTATCTTTTTTTTTTTTTGGTTTTATGAGACAGGGTTTCTTTGTATTGTTTTGTAGGCTATCGGTCCAGCCCGGCCTCGAACTCACAGAGATCCGCCTGCCTCTGCCTCCCGAGTGCTGGGATTAAAGGCGTGCGCCACCATCGCCCGGCTCCTAGTGCTATCTTTAGAGCATGACATCCAGAAGTTTCCATGTGAGAAATCTAAGCCCAAAGTTGGATGTTGATGATGCCTGGGGAAGGGCCTTCGGGGAAGTAAACAGGATCAGGAGGGTGGGGCCTCAAGGTGGCATTATGGCTTTCAAAGCAGAGAAAAGATGCCCTAAGTGGCATACTTGCTCTGTCTCACACTGCGACACCCTCCACCACATTGGGATGCAGCAAGATAGCCCTCCTAGATGCTGGTGCCTTGCCACCGAGCTTCTAAGCCTTTAAAACTCTAAACTAAATAAACTTGCATTTGGGCTGGAGCTGTAGTTCAGTGCCACAGAGCTTGCCTACCACAAATAAAGCTTTGGGTTCCAAGTCCAGCACCACAAACCAAAAAGAACTCCAGAGCAAAATCCAAATCAAAACCCCAGGCTTTCTTTTAATGGTTATCTTATTTTATTTAATTTTTTTTATCTTGGGGGGTTTCAAGACAGGGTTTCTCTGTGGCTTTGGAGGCTGTCCTGGTAGCTCTTGTAGACCAGGCTGGTCTTGAACTCACAGAGATCTGCCTGCCTCTGCCTCCCGAGTGCTGGGATTAAAGGCATGTGCCACCACCGCCTGGCTGCTTATCTTATTTTAAATTATGTGCATATGTGTGTGTCTATGAGCTTATGCATGCAGGTGCCAGTGGTGGCCAGAAGAGGGAGCCAGGTCCCTAGGCACCTGAGTTAGAGGTGGCTATGAGCCACCTGATGGGTGTTGGGAACCAAACTTGGGTCCTCTGGAAGAGCAGTACACACTGTTAACTACGAAGCCATCTCTCCAACCCCGACCTCCTATTGTTTCTAAGCAATCTACTCTCTTACTGTTTATAAGCAATCTAGTATTGATTGTAAGTAATCTGCTTTGTTACAGCAACCAAACCCCACATCCACGGCTGGGATGGGAGCTGTTCCCACAGGCTCAGGTGTTCGAATGCTTGGTCTCCAGCTGGTGGTGCTGTTTTGGGAGACCGTGGAATCTTTAGGAGGAGGGGCTTAACTCAAGTAGGTGGGTCATTGGGGGTGGGTGGGGCTACATCTGCCTTTGAACAAACAAACAAAACCAAGGTAGAAGGCTCCTGAAATAAAAATGACACCCAGGTAGATCTTTGGCCTCCACAAACAGGTGCCCACACATGCACACACCACATGAAGACACACCCACATGTGCGGCACACGCAGGGAATAAAGCAGATAAATAAGGTCTAGAAGCCTCTAGCTGCACCATGTGTCCTTCTCTACTGTGCTGGGAGGGGCCAGGCTGAGAGAGAAGCTGGGGAGGGGCACTCACAGCTGGTAGGGGTTGGGCAGGCTTGGTCTGTTCCAGGCCTGCCCCAAGTTGTAGGAGCAGCAACGCGTCTTCCGGGTCTCATTCAAGGTCAGTTTGTTGTCGCGTGTACGATTGTAGCAGTGCCAGAAACACACGCTCTTTCTCATGTCTGCAGCTGAAGTGGGGGCAAAGAATGTGGGGCTCAGACTGGTGAAATGCCTTAGCTGGTGAAAGTGCTTAGCACCAAGCCCAACAACCTGACTTTGACTCCCGGGCTCACGTCGTCGAAGAAGAGAACGGATCCCGCAAGTTGTTGTCTGGCCTCCACATGTGTGCCGTGACGCACACGGAGCCCCCATTTCCCATGTAATAAGCAAAGGAAAGGTGAAAAGACAGGATGTGGGACGGGTCCAAGTCAGAGGAAGAACGCAATTGGAGAGGGAGCCTACCCATGTGTCATGTGGACGCATCGGCCTGGGGGCTCTTCTCCAGTCTCTTTCAGGATTTGTTGGTCAGTGCATGACCCGGGAGGACCACTCGGCTACTCGGGGCTCCTCAGTCCTGCCGCAGCGTCATTCGGTGTCACATATAAGCACGTCGAGTATATGCACGTGTACTCTGTCCCTTCTTTCAAATACACCTCTCTCGGCACCTTCCAAGGCTCCGAGGCTCTTGGCAGTGCTTCCCACACCCACGCTCTACCATAGCAACCACCAGTCTTCCAGCCCTCAAGCCCCAGCCATCAGGCTTCCTACCCACACAGCGGTTGCCACCGTTGACCTGCAGGGCGGACACCGGTGTAATTTCCTAAGTTGTTGTAGCACGTGCCAGGGCTGCAGATGTCTGGATGTATGGAGCACTCATTAATGTCTTCAGGAGAGGGAAGAGCGGAAGAGGACAGGCGAGGAAAGTCAGATATTGTCTGGGTGACTCCCTTGGGGGGTCTCCTACCCCAGGCCAAGTGAGGACACTTTATTTTTGGCTTCTATTTGCTTTCACTAGCTTAAAATGATACAGACATCTGGGCCAGGGAGGTTGCTCGGTGGGTAAAGTGCTTGTTACACAAACACGAGGATCTGAGTTCGAATCCCCAGGACCCACTTAACAGCAGGGTACGGTAGCACACATGAGGACCCTCAGAGCTCCTGTAGCAAGGGTGGTCAGAGGCAGAAGAATTTCGGGAAGCTGTGGGTAGCTAGCCTGGTGCCCGAGGAGCAAACAGACCCTGGTGTCTTAGATAAGGAGGAAGGCAGAGGCTAACCCAAGGCTGTCCTCTGAGCTTCAGGTGCACACTGTGGCATGAACACCCACATTCATACTCTATCATGGGTTTTGTTTGTTTGCTTGTGTTTTGGTCAGGATATTTTTTTACTGCAACAGAAACCAGGATTGACACTAAGAGACAATATGCCAACGGCTAAGAGTAATAAAAGCAGGAAGTGAAGCTGTTACTTCCAACCCTACAGACACGAAGGAATCATAAGATAAAATGAATAATTATATGCGGTATGCCCCCTCCCATCAGATGGAGCTCAGTGGTTAAGAGCATAAACTGTTCTGGCAGAGTCACTGAGCCACTGAAACCACCTCTAACTCCAGCTCCATGGGGATCTGATGCCCTCTTCTGGCTTCTATGAGTACTGCGCTTGTGCACACAAAAATTAAAACCTTTTAGATTTAGGAACACAAACACACACGCATACACACAGAGGAGGGGGTATTGAATGGCAGTATAATATAAAGACACATAATACAGTAGTATAAAAGATTTAAACCAAGACAGTCCAGGACTAAACAGTTTTACTGGTGAATCCCACCACATATTCAAAGAATACCAATTACTCTCAAGCTTTTCCAGAAATAGCAGAGAACTATCCCCAAGTCACCCAGTGATATGAGAATCACCTCCATATCCAGAATAGACAAAGACAGCACAAGAATAGATGCTGCAGGATGGTACCTCTTACGAATGTCCCTAAATGCAAAGGTCTTCCATAAGTGGTAGGAAACGGGGGCTGGCAATGGGGCTGCCTAGCACCTGTCTAACAGGCATGAGGCCCTGAGTTCCAGTCCTGACATTGTAAGAGGGAATACATAAAACCGGAACAGGCCTGGGAAATGAATTGCCACTTGTACTTGCCACACAAGCCTAATGACCTGTGTTCAGATCCCTGGAATCCATCTCAAACGCTGGGTATGGGACAGAGAGATGGCTCTGTGATTAAGGTCGCACTCTACCCTTCTGTGGGATCTGAGCTCAGTTCTCAGGACTAATAAGACAACTTACAGCTGTCTGTAACTCCAATTCCAGGGGATTCAACACCTTCTGACCTGCACACAAGTATACTCATAGAGACAGACATGCATCCTACATTGAGATGGGAGGTGGAGGCAGAAGCCTTGGTTTCTTCATCTAAAACGTGGGGTCATAATAGAAAAGCCTTCCTTATAGGGATGTTGCAGCAGTTAGATATGAATTGAGAATAGGCAGCACAGTGGTAACCTACAGTCCTGGCCACGAGTCACTGTTGGGCCACCACTACAATGCTCAATTGAGGACAGCAGACAGACATGTGAAGTCTGTAAGTCTGTTCGAAAGCAAAGGTGAGACCATTCCTTCCCATGTCTTTCCTTTCCCACAGTTAGCCGTGGATCTTGGTCAGCTTTGGCTCAAGGGAGGAAGATCAAGGTTGCTATTAAGCTATGTTATTTCCTAGCGAGTAGAAGGAATAAGGAAGGGGTCTGGACTGAAGGATGAGACAGAATGTAAGGCAGGGCATTCAGTTAGCCTCCTACCCCTCACCTTAGGGAGTCTGCCAGAGCAGCACGGCAGAGATGGAGAGGAAGTTCCTGGCCTAGCCCAGGTGGAGTCCCACACTCACCCTCACAGGTGCGGGTGTCTTCACTGAGGCTGTATCCAGCAGGGCACGCACACTGGAAGGTACCAAAGGTGTTGGTGCAGTTGCCTCCCCGGCACAGCCCAGGTAGCTCCTGGCATTCATTGATGTCTGTTAGGAATTGAGGAAGCTGAGGAGGAGAGCCAAATCCAGCAGAGGACCTAGGGATTCCCATAGGCTGCTCTGGGATCCTTGGGCTCTTTCAAGTATCACCCTCCCCCACCCCCCGCAAGAGTATTCTCCACAACTGCTGGGCATTTGAAGAATCTATCTCAAAGGCTGGACACTTGAGTCAGTGCTGGCCTGAGCCAAACTCCTTTATTTCCATCTTAATTTGATTGTCACATTCATGATTGTTCCCTCAGGTTAGAATATCTTCTCTTCCATCATTACTTCCTAAGAGCAGAATTGACGGGAGGATTGATAGCTGGGTATGAAAAGCAGGGACTGAGTATGCAAATCAGCCACTGGATGAGAAGATGGATGTGTGGATGAATGGAAGGATGGGTGGACAGGCGAGTAGTTAGATGGGCAGATAAGGAGAGTGGGTGGTAAGGTAATAGTAGTAGTCAGAAGACGGGTCAGTGGGGTCATGGAAGGATGTGTGTAAGTTTGGAGATGGAAGGATGGATGGATAGATTAGAAATGAATAGATGAATGGCTGGGGTGGATGGGAGATGGATAAATGGATGAGCAGATGGATAAATGGGGGAACTGGAATGAGTAGATGGTGTGGGAATGAGAAAGGACCCCCTTGGGTCACATATTTGAATACTTGGTTCCCAGTTGGTAGAACTGTTCGGGAAGGACTAGGATGCATCATCTTGTTGGAGGAGGTTATACCTGCCATGATGGTAACGGGCTCTAACCTCTGAACTGTAAGCTCTAAACAGTCTCTTTCTTCTATAAATTGCCTTGGTCGTGGTAGCTTATCACACAGTAGGAAAGCAATTAAGACGGATGATGATAGAGGATGGGTGGATGATGTGGGTGGATAGGTGAGTCAATGGATAGGCTGGGGATGAATCGATGATGAGAGAGGTTGGGTGGAAATGGGATGGATTGATGGATGATGAATGAATGGACAAATGGGCATAGATAGATGAATGTGAGACAGATGGAGGATGGATGGATCGGTGAATAGATGCATGTGTGGGTAGGTGTCCATGGGTGGCTCCCTGACTGGCTGACTGGCTGTTCCAAAGGATGGGTATATGGAAGCTGGAAGAATGGATGGCTGGAAGAGTGGCTAGATGGAAAGCCCAGTTAACAAACCAAAAACTGACAGAAGAAAAGACAGCACAGACTAAATCTCATGCATAATTTGGTTCTACAACAAAGCCCCCACGTGGGAGAACACTGTCCCCCAAGTTGCCCACCTGGCACTTGTCAAGATGTGGATGACAGAAAGACCCATCAGTGTGTAGGGGTATCAACAGCCTGTCAGGTACTCACCTTCCAGAATCACAGTGATGGGATTGGGCCGGAAACCCTTACCACCTGGGCACAGGGTCCTATACTCTGCTGCAAGGGAAACAGACTTGGATGAGTGGCTGTGAAGAGAGGCACGCGGGTAAAATCTAGTGGATAGGAGAAGACCCCTTGAAAAAGACATAACAAGGGTCCCCCTTCTTTTGCTTTGCTGAACCAACTATGACTCATATCCCCAGCTTTGGGGGGAACTGCTTAGAGTTTCAGTATGTTTTTGTGTTGGGGATTGTATATAAACATGGATTCCCATCCAGTGCCCGGAGAGGTGGGTCACGAGGGATCCTGTTCCCACTGTTGTTCCTATTATACCCCACTCCTTTCCACTTTACGCATTCTCCAAACCTGTACTCTACTTAGGACCTACAGTTCCTGGACCCCTAGTCTCCAGCACAAGGCAGACGAGCCAGTTTGCTGACTGGCTGAGTGATGGATTGAATACAAACAGGAGAATTTACAGAAAGCCACTATGGAGAGAGGCCTAGCCTTTGAACTGGCAAGGACATGCTTTGTGACCCAAGATCCTTTTCCTTCCTGGTTCTACGTTCTTGGCCCCCAAAGCCGTCTGCAGGCAGAGATGACCTGCAAACTTCTGAGTCTCTGGCTTAGGCTCACTGGCCTGCAGGGACTCACAGGTGTTGCTGATTGGACATGGCTTGCAGGGGTTGCCCCAGGCTTGGCCCAGGGAACAACAACAAGATGCTCTGCTGACATCAGCTCCAATCGCTGCACTACAGGAAATGCCACCATCACCTTGGTCATGCACATCCAGGTAACAGATCCCCGCCAGGGTGTCTGCACAGGCAAAAATGGGTTGTTAGCACTTGGAAAACTATGTGTTTCTGTGTGCTACCTTGACCTCCACGACTTCCTGGTTGCATGTGTGTGTGCTCCTGAGTGTGTAACTGTGGCCTCTCTGGTTTGTGTGTCTGGCTGTGTGTAAATGCGTGTGAGTTTGTATGTGTATGCATATGTGTAATTACCATCTCTGATTGTAACTGTATCTTTGTGTAGTTGTGTGCATTTATGTGTCTAGTTATGTCTGTAACTATGAATTTGTGCATAGCATGTGCTATGTGTAACTGAGTTTCTCTATGTGTAACTTTACATTGCATCAGTGTGTTTTTGTGCATGTAACTTGTCTTTGTGTATAACTTTATTGTGTATAAATAAATTTCTGTGTGTGTGTACATTTGTGTGTCTACCTGTTACAAATTTCTGTGTGTATTACTGGCTGTCTCTGTGTCTATTTGTCTGTGTTTAAGTGTGTTCTTCTTTGTGTAAATTGTCATTGGCTGTTATTGTGTTACTATATATCTCTCTGTGTTACAAATTTGTGTATATCAGTGTTTCTCTCTGTCTAAGTATATCTCTGTGTAATTTGTTTTACACTACAGATTTCTGTGTAACTGTATGCACTTACCTTTCTGTGTGTGACTGTGTGTCTATGCATTATTACGTATCTCTGTGTTACAATAGTCTTTCGCTGTGTCTATGTATCTATAGTTAAGTGTGTTTTTCTGTGTGCAATTTGATCCTGTATGTAACTATATGCATATGTGTGTATGTAAATGTTGTCTCTGACTATACTATATATATCCTTGTATGTGCATGTGTATAAAATTGTGTTTCTATGTGTGTAATGGTTGTCTCTGTGTCTACCTGTGTCTGTGTAGCCGTGAGTTTATATATACTATGTGTGACTTGCCTGTAACTGTGTATATGTATATAGATGCTGTCTGTGACTGTAATTATGTGTGTGTGTGCCTCTGTTTATGTAGCTGCTGTCTCTGTGTGTAACTGTGTCTGCATGTAGTTGTGTTTCTTTGTGGGTAACTGTTGTTTTCTGAGAAACTACATATAATGCATGACTAAACATTGTCTCTTTTAGTGTGTCTATGATAATTGCATATGCCTCAGTGCTTTTTTCTGGTGTGACCATGTATGTGTGTAACTGCATGCCTCTGGGTGTGACCATGTATGTGTATAACTGCATGCCTCTGGGTGTGACCATGTATGTGTATAACTGCATGTCTGTGTATGGTTGTCTGACCCACTTTGTGTAGTTCTTTGTATGTAACTACGTTGGCTATTGTTCTTGGCTAGAACCATGTATTTCTATGTGCAACAACTGTGTATGCCTCCATATATGCCTACATATGTGTATGTAGTGGTTGAATATTCCTGACTGGGCAGGAAAGGTATGCATGTGTGTAAAATTATGTGTGCTTGTGAGCAGGTGTGTCTGAACCAGAAGGCAATATCACAGCAGATTACTTCCCAGTCCTGACAGTCAGGAGCAGGAAGATCTTTGTAAGTTAACACCCAGGATGACCCACGCCTTAGCCCTGTCAGCAATACTGACTCCCGAGTTCCCCAGCTGCTGCCAGGTGTGCACTCACCAACACAGCCCATTCCACTAGGGTTAAGCTGAAAGTCCTGGGGGCATCTGCAGAGGTAGCTGCCAGGGGTGTTAACACACAGGCCATTGACGCAGTTTGCAGGATTTTCACACTCGTTGACATCTGTGAGGGACACACACCATTGTTAGCTAGGATCTCTCACTGTACCCCATCGCCCCTTTCTCCTGAGTAGCTACAGATCTCAATGGGCCCACTCAGGTGTTGGAGTATGAATGTTTGTCCTTCCCTAGGATGAAGCCAAAGAGGACGTGGCTTCAAGAGTCTGCCCTGGACATCCAGCCCTCTCTCTTCTGCTGCTCAGTTCCCATCCTGAGTTTCCCACAGCCAACACATGAAACTAAGATTTAGAAAACACCTTTGAGCCAGGAGTTGGAAAACCATCCAGATGGCCAAATGTGGCCCTCTGCTTGGTTGTATCAGTAAAGTTTTATTGACACATGACTGAGCCTTTCTATTTACATTTTGTCTATGGGAAAGCTTAGTGGTGGCAAAAGACATCTATATAAAATACTGAAAATTTCTACCATATGTTTGTTATTAAAGACACTAGACACTTGGGGACCATTTTAGCAGGTATGGTGGAGCATTTATTCACAGCATTTGCTCAGGGGACGGTGAGAGGGCAATTGTGATGATGAGTTTTAATAATCAACTTGACATAACCTGGAATAACATGGGAAGGCAGTTTCATTGAGGGACTGTCTATACAGATTGGTCTGAGGGTGTGTCTGTGGGTATTGTATTAGTCAAATGGACTGATTTGGGAAGACCAAGCGGTACCATTCCCTAAGTACTATCGAAAGAGTGGAGAAATGGAGCTGAGCACAAGCGAGGACGCCAGCACGCGTGCATTATTCCCTCTCTGCTCTTCTATGTGGATGTGATGTGGTTGGTTGCCTCAAGGTCCTGCTGCTGGGACTTGACCACAGTGGCAGACTACAACCCAGACCTGTAAGTGGAAACTGACTTCTTTCTCCCCTCAGTTGCTTACTGGCAGGATATATTTTTTTTATCAACCAGCAGAAATGAAACTAGAACAGCAATGAATTGCGATGATTAAAAACAGAAAATGGGGATGGAAAGATGGCTCAGTAGTTAGGAGCACTTGTTGCTGTTGCAAAGGACCTAAGTTTGGTTCCCGGCACCCACATGGTGGCTCACAACCAGAACTGGAATCCAACACCCTCTTTTTATCCTCCATGGACACTAGGCATGTATGTAGCACGCTTACACACATTCAGGCAAAACTTTCATACATAAATAATAAATAAATCTAAAAATAAAATTTTAAAATAAAGGAGTGATGAGGGCTGGAGAAATTGCCTCAGCGGGTTCAGTGTAGAAGCTTAAGTGCTCTCCTGTAACACCAGGGTTAACAGGGGAGGTAGGAGGGTTGCTCTAGCTCTCTGGCTGCCAGCTGTGCTCCAGGGGATAATGTGGAGAGAGAGAGAGAGAGAAGGATGCTTGACTCCCTCCTGAGGCTTCACTTGCATATTCACTACACACATATATCAGACACATACACGTGTGCATATCCCCAAGTACATGCATATACACAAAAGGGAGTGATGGGAACTATTCCAGAAGAGAAGTCAAGATGAATGTAGTGTGTATGGGGGCAAGCTGTGTCCCCGTACTCTCAGTCCTATGCTCTCCGTTCCCTGCCAGGGTGGCTCCAAACCTATGCAGCTGCTCCCACTTTGGTCCAGCTCATAGCCATCATCACAGCTGCAGTGGAACATTCCAGGCAGGTTTTCAGTTCCCAAATATGCACAAGTTCCCAACAGCACACTCATCCACATCTGTAGAGCCCCCATCTCAGCCTACCATGCTTGATAGTGTGTTCTGGAAACCCGCCACTCTATACCCTCAGCAGGACAGCTGGTTCTCGGTAGGGTTGAAGCCCACATCACATTCCCGGTGGTACCTGCCAGGTACATTGAGGCACTGTCCATTCATGCAGAGGCCCACATTCTCCATGCATTCATCCTTGTCTGAGGGACCATGGAGACATGGGGCTGGGGACCAGCTGGGTTAGGACCACACTGAATGAGCAGGAAGTTCCAGGGATTTAAACATTTACTCTCATCCAGAATCCCAAGTGAGAGCCCTGGGAACTCAGATGCTAATTCAGAATAGGCAGATACCCCAGATGGGGATTAGAAGTGAAAAGGTGGCCATTGACACCCAGAGTCCAGGTGGAGGCACATGGACAGGACATGTTCACAGCCCAGGAAGTAAGAAGAGGATTAGATTGACTATGGGGGTGTAGACCATAAGGGAAAACGAGCAATGGGAGAACTGGGGATCAAAAGGCTGGGGGGATAGCTCAGCTGGTAAAGTGCATGCCACACTAACATAAAAATCAGAGTTTGACCCCCAGTACCCCGGTGAAAAAAGCCATGCGTGGTGGCACAAATGTGTAATCCATTCTGGGGAGATGGAGATCCCTGGATCCCTGGGGACCCCTGGCCGACCAGCATAGCTTAATTGGCAAGTCCTGGGGGTCTCAACCAGAAAAACTGTTTCAAAGCAAAACAAAACACAACACAAACCAAGCAACAACTCAAAACTAAACCAAACCAACCAACAAACCTACCAAACGAAAACAACAACTCAAAACTAAACCAAACCAACCAACAAACCTACCAAACGAAAACAACAACTCAAAACTAAACCAAACCAACCAACAAACCTACCAAACGAAAACAACAACTCAAAACTAAACCAAACCAACCAACAAACCTACCAAACGAAAACAACAACTCAAAACTAAACCAAACCAACCAACAAACCTACCAAACAAAAACAACAACCCATCGCCAACCCAAGGTGGATGACTCCTGAGGAAGGACACTTGAAGTTAACATCTGGCCTCCACACATACTCACATATGTGTACCTATACGTGAGTTCATCCTCCCAAATTTGTACACACATACACACGCAGCGTAATAATAATAACAATAATTAAAAATCAGCAAGAAGAAGATGATAACTAAGAGAGAGGCTAGGTGGGCACGCAGGTAGTGTCTCTATGGACTAAGGACATAGACTCTCTAGTACCCATGGGGCAGGAGAGGACAACCCTGGCACTGTGGTTTTCCCATCCAGGCCCTGCCCTCCACCTCAGCTTCACAGAATAAGCCATCTCCAACAAACCCTGGTTGGCAGGCGCAGTGGTAAGAGCCCAGGGTATTGAGGCAGTCAGCTTTTGGGCCACAGTGATGAAGCTGGATGTCACATCCATCCAGGTCTGTAGCAGACAGAGCCGGGATCCCTGGTAGGTGCACTGGGGCTGTGGGCAGGCTGACTCTCCAGTCCCGGCCCTACCTGGCCCCCACAAACCATCTCCTAGTCCTCCACCCTCACTCCTGTCCCTAGGTACTCACCGTAGCATTTGAAGCCGTCCCCAACCCAGCCTGGGTGGCACCTACAGCTGAAGCTCCCGGGGATGTTGTGACAGGAGGCGTGCCTGTCACAATTGTGTCTTCTAAACTCACACTCGTTCACATCTGAGGGGAGGGGACAGTGGTGGGAAGCAGTCACAGCAGGGACGACTCAGAGGAGCAGCAACAGGAAGATGATGGGAGAGTCCTCCCCAGACACCTTCCACTTTCCTCTACAGTCTAAGAAAGAAGCCCCAAGCCCGCCAGACCTGACCCTTAGCGGCCCTCAGAAACGACTTCAAGTGGCAGGCAGCATGAGAGACTTATGGTAGACATTAAGAGCAATTATCCAATAAACAGCAAAGCAGGATTCCTATCTATATCAGGCTGTCCAAGTTTGAATCAGTCTTGAAGCACTTTTACCGACTCTGCAGTGGACATCTGCTGCCCGCGTGGGCCACTGTTTACTAAATAAACATTTTTCTATATAGTTCCTCATTTTGACTTGCATGAATGTGTTTTATTTTTCATCCATCCACCAATTCATTTTTCTAAAATTAGCTATCTATCAGCTATTCACCCATTGTAAAGATATCTACATATTTACTTATCTATCTTTTATCTATCATCTTTCAACCAACCATCCATCCATCCATCCATCCATCCATCCATCCCTGTCTGTCTTCATAGAGCCTGGTCATTGAACTCAGGGATTTGCACATTCTAGGAACTAGAGTCTCTAGCACTGAGCCAGACTGTCCTTTACTGTGTTGTTTTGAGACATGGTCTCCCTATGTACAATAGGCTGGCCTGGAACTTGAGATCTTTCTGCCTCAGTCTCCTACGTACAGGGGTGACAGATGTGATTATAAGTATATTTTAAAGGAAAATTTTATATCAACCCTAATCACTTCAAAGAAGTCATGGAGTCTGACTGGATGTGCAGCTAAGTGGTAGAGTGTGTGTCTGGTATGGGAAAGGTCCTGGGTTTAATCCCTAGTGACTCAATATATATATATATATACATACACACACACACACCACACATAAACAAAATGCTTGAAGGATTGTGTGGCTGGCGAGACAGTTCAGTTGGTTAAGTGTTTGCTATATAAACTTAAGGGCCTTAGTTTAATCTCTAGCACCCATATAAAAAAGTCAAGCATGGTGGTCTATGCTTGTAATCCTATCTCTGGAGAAGCGCAGATAGAATTTCTATACACTCTCTGGCCAGCCATCCTGGCCTAATTGTCCTGCCTCAAGTTCAGTGAGAGACCCTACCTCAAAAAAGTAGGGTGGATATGAGGAATGACGCAAGATTGACCTATGGTCTCTATAAGCATCTGTCCTCTCAAGGTACCACTTGAACATGTACCTGCCTCCTACAAAAACACATAAAAACACATTGAATGCTATCACACACACACACACACACACACACACACACAGAGAGAGAGAGAGAGAGAGAGAGAGAGAGAATTATGGCCTCTTCCATCTATGAGTGTGACCTTGATTAAAAATGATCTTTGTAGATGTCATGAAGTCACATTGTCATCATGGATTGGTTTGCATCCTGATCTAATGGACCTTTGTAAGAGAGGAATTTGGGCACAGACAGACAGAGAAGAACACCAGGCAAATACAAAGGCACAAGAGGGTGTAATGTTCCTATGAATCAAATGCCACCACAGATCAACACCAGCCAGAAGTTGGAGGGATGCCTAGGACAGGTTCTTTCTCTGTATCAAGAAGGAACTAACCCTGCCCATGCCTAGATTCCAGACTCCTAGCTGTCATTTTGGATAAAGAATATATCCTGGGGCTCTCAGTCATCAGGTATCTGCTGATTTGTGTTTAATCTGAGACGTGAATTCTCTAGCTAGTTAGATGTTTAAATGTTAATCCCTGAATCATGCAAAAAGCATCTGGCTTGCTTACTTTGGGTATGCTGCTCTCTCCTTTGGGGTTCCCTTTATTGAGCTATTTAAGAGGCTCCCAGGGGGGCTTTACTGTTAAGAGATCTCATTAGTGGAAGCTGTAAGAATGAGTTCTGGTTGTCTTCTGTCCTAAGGCATGCAGAGAGTGCTAATGATCTTCAAGCTAACTCTTTTGATCTCTCTAGCTCCCCCTGAAAGTTTTTTCACTCACAGAGCAACCTGTAACTTCCTCTCTGATGACAGAGCCCAGCTGGCAGTGACAGGCAAAGGATCCTTTTGTGTTTTCACAGTTCCCCTGGAGACAGAGGTGCCATACAGGGGAACCTCCTACTAGGCTGAGTGGGTGTCTGCAAAGAAAACTGTGATGGTTAGATTCGATTGTCAGCTTGTCACAACCTAGAATCACCTAGGGAGACAGCCTCAATGACAGGCGGTCTACACTGGTTTGGTCTGTGAGCATATCTGTAGGAGATTGCCTTGAATACGCTTACTAACGTGGGGAGAGCCAGATCACTGTGGGTGGCATCATTCCCTAGGCAGGGATGGTCCCGAAATGTATGAAGAGTGGAGAAATGGAGCTGAGTAAGCAAGCATGTGAGTATCAGGCATTCACTTCTCTCTGTTCTTGACTGTGGATGTGATATGATCACCCTATGTCTGTCTGAAGTTCCTGTCTTGACCTCCCACACCGAAAGATGGATTCTAACCTGAAATTGCAAGCTAAAAGATACTCCTTTATCTCCTAAGCTGATTTTTTGTTGGGATTTTTATCACAGCAACAGAAACAAATTACTAAAATAGGTGAAATGCATCCTTTAGGACCACCAATGGGTAGTGTGGTGGGTCAGGCTGATCCAATGTTTTCTCAGAGGCCCGATGAAAGGACAAATGGAACCCAGTTCTGTGTCCTTGCTCAGTGGTAGACTTGGCAAGGTTCAGTTTGGCTCTAAGGCCAAGACCTCAGATGAGTTAAGATTTCAGTTCCTGGAAACTTGATTTTTCTCTCTGAAGAACTGAGTTTCCAGTTCCAAGGCTGCTGTGTGCTCAAGACTGTGATCAACTTGAGATCTCCTGTGTACCTTTTGTGTAACATTGCTTGATTATGCTATCTTTGTGAAATAGAGCACTTGTTACATATATTCGACCATGTATTACTTTGGGAAACACATGCAAGTTGTGTTCCGTGAAAATTGCACTGCAGGGTACTCACGGAAGACTTATAACTACCCTGATCTGGATTAGCAGGGCCTAGATAATTGGGGTCTGGCTGACTATGCCTGGCTTTGTGCTATGCAGGGCTCTAGTGAGGTTGCTGTGTAGCCCAGGCCTTCTCTGGTGCTCACACCCCAAGCAGAAGGAGTAGGTCACACCCGCTATCCTGTGCTTGCCATCCTAATGGGCATCCTGCTGCACTGAAGCTGGCCTCCGTGTTCGTGCACTGCACTTCACAGTCACTGTCCAGGACTTGCTATTCACCGATGTCTGCAAGGGCAGACAAGAGCTCACCAGGTCAGTGAGCTTGGGCTGAATTAGGGGCAGGAGCTAAGAGGAGCATGGAAGTAAGGCTGGGAGGGACTGTGTTGTGCAGGGCACTATAGAGAGCACCCTAGAGATGGCCTAGTCTCACCCATGCAGTCCTGGCCATCAGGAGTGTTCAGGAAGCCAGTGTGGCAGGAGCAACAGAAAGCGCCAATGATATTAATATACTGGCCACGGGGACAGAGGCTCTCATTCATGGTGCATCATCAATGTCTGGTGGGAACACATATGACTAGTGACAGTCTCTGGTGAAGAAGCACCTGTACTGTCCCTCATCTCCTGTCTGCCATCACACGTGTCCCAATGGGCTCCCTCTGACTGCTTGCATCAGCACCCCACCCTTTGATTGCCTGTCTACTCACAAACATACATTTTCATCCTGCACAACTCAAGCTCATGCACTTTCATAGACACATGCATCCACATGAAGAAACATGCTCATGCATAGGTGCATGATACAAACACACCTTACATGCACACATTCATCCTTGTGCAAATATGTACACACATCCAGATGCACTCAGATACACTCATATTGTGTGTGTTTACATAAATGTGCAAAGAAACACATCCATATACTCACACTTACGTATGTTCTTGTGATTGAACACATGGTCCCAGGCAGGTGGTGCTAGTTAGGAAGAAGGCTGTGGACCTTAGGAGGTGGGCCTCACTGGAGGAGGTGTATCTTTGTGGACCCATCTTGAGATTTTATAACTCAGCTGCACTTCCTAATTACTCCCTGTTTCCTGACTGTGGATACAATGTGGACAGTTGCTCCTGTAGCATAGTTTCCCTGCCAGAATGGACTGTACTCCCTCAGACCATGGGACACAGTCTTGGTCACAGCAAGGTGAGTCTCCAACATTTTGTACAAGGGAGATGCATTCATGTTGGAATCTGTACCTCCCCCACATATATCCTCTTATAGGTACACCACACACCACACACACACACACACACACACACACACATACACACACACACACACACACGTCCACTCACATGCAAATCCATAGACCTACCCATTGCTGATACATTCAAACCCAAATATACACTTCCGTCTTCTTATAGACTCATCCATATGCATGCATACTCAAATGTAAAACTTTGCTCTTACACACACACACACAGATTGACAAACACACTTGCTTTTGCACAGATACAGCCTCATTGATATTCACATGGATGTGTTCACAGACACACTTCTCATTTGTATTTGTTACTGTCCTCATTGCTGTGACAAAATATTTCACAAAAGCGGCTGAGGGGGGAAGCATTTATTTAGGCTCACAGTTGGATACAGTCCATCATGGCAGGGCAGTCACCGTCATAGAAGCATAAGGCAGCTGGTTATACCGCGTCCACCAGGAAGACAGAGCAAGATGGATTCTGGCGCTCAGCTCCCTTTCTCCTTTTTATTCAGCCCAGAACCCCAGGTTGCTCAGGTTGGCCTAGAATTGGCAATCCTTCTACTCTAGCCTCCAGAGGGATGGGATTGTAAGTCTATGCCATCATGCCCAAGATAGAGTCTTTGTAAATGGATTCTCTGGGGGCAGTCCTTTCCTTTTTCCCACAAGGCACCTGTTCTCAATATGCTCTCATAATGACAGTATCCCATGGCAACACAACAGCGCACTACAACTTCTCCTCATATCTACCAGCAGCAGGCTCACCATCCCTCTTCTGGCCACCCACCCTTCCCACGGCTCTCTGCCATGCCCTCACCCTGCCGTCACTCACCCATGCAGTTCTTCACCCGTGGAGAGCCACCAGTGAAGCCAGGAAAGCAGTCACACTCAAAGCTGCCTTGGGTATTGATGCAGGTACCCTGGCCGCAGATGTCAGGGGAGATGTGACATTCATCGATGTCTGTGGGGACAGAGATGCATGGGCCAGAGGTCTGTGTGTGCAAGCATGAGAAGTCACAGGGCCAGTGGCTTCAAGTAAGAGGACAAACGAGGCTGGGTCTCTGTAGATGTGAGGGGCTGCACAGGAGCCTCAAGAAACTGAGCCAAGTCGGAAGGAGACGTGCCTCGGGTGAACACAATAAAAAGGGCAAGAAATTCCCTTGGCCAGCCCTCCATTGAGACAGCAGAGATCCCTGCAGCCCAGACAGGGTGATGAGCTGTCTTAGGCCACACAACTCATAGATAAGTATGAGGAGAATAAAGACAGCCTGGTCTTCACATCCCATTCAGAGACCTCTCCCACAAATTCCTGTATGCACGACCTTGCTCACCAGATGGAGAGCAGCACCCACCTGTGCAGTTCCTCTCCTGGGCATCCAGGGTGAAGCCTTGGTCACAGGAGCAGTGGAAGCTGCTCACAGAATTGTGGCAGGTGCCATGTGTGCATAGGCCAGGGAACAGTTTGCACTCATTCACATCTGCAGTATGGATAAACAAGGTCAGATAAACCACACTGAAGGTCTTTAGTTTAGGATTCATACACTAAGCCCTCCTAGGTTCTTACCTCTTGAGCTTGCTAACTTCTTTCTTTCTTTCTTTCTTTCTTTCTTTCTTTCTTTCTTTCTTTCTTTCTTTCTTTCTTTCTTTCTTTTGGTTTTACGAGATAGGGTTTCTCTGTATTGTTTTGGAAGCTGACGGTCCAGCCCGGCCTCGAACTCATAGAGATCCGCCTGCCTCTGCCTCCCGAGTGCTGGGATTAAAGGTGTGCGCCACCACCGCCCGGCTGCTAACATCTTTCTTAAAAGTGTTTTGTGCATGTGTGTGGGTGCACACACCACGGAGTGTTGTAGGATACTATTTTAATGTGTGTTACATTTGTTTACACTCTGGAACATTTGTTTAAGGATGCAAAGATGTGTTGCTTTTTGTTTATGATGCATTTGTTTAACTCTGTGAAGCTGTGATTTTTTGCCTGTCTAAAATATCTGATGGTCTAATGAAGGACAGGTAGGGAAATCTGGGAGAAAGGAAGAAGCAAGAGAGAAGAAGGAGAGGAGAACACCAGGGACCAGTCACCTAGCTGTACAGCAGGACCCTGAGTAATAGTGAAAGTGAGATTTACAGAAGAGAAAGATAAAAGCCCAGAGGCAAAAAGCAGTTGGAATAATTTAAGAAAAGCTGGCAAGAAACAAGCCAAGCTGAGGCCAGGTGTTTATAAGTAAGAATAATACTCCGGGTGTATTTATTTGGGAGCTGGGTAGTGGGCTCCCCCAAAAGCCAAAAGGGTAAAAAGTGTAAAACAAACAAATACAGTGGAGGTCTGCAGAAGGAGATTTTTTCCATCTATCTCGGTCCCACTGGAGCAGTTTTCTCTCCCACTGGGCCCCACAGCCACTTACTGAAATGACGACTCGAGACTTAGTATCAGTTACAATTGTTTAGCCAGTGGCTTAGGCTTCTTACCGGCTAGCTGTCTCTTAATTATTAACCCACTTTTACTAATCTGTGCATCTCCCTGTGGCCTTGTCTTACTGGAGAATGCCTGAATGTCCTGCTTCCCCAGTGGCTACAAGGTATTTTTCCTTTTTCCCCCTGTCTCTTTGTTTGGAATTCTCACCTAGCTAAATTCTGCCTCTCCGTTGGCTGGAACAGCTTTATTCATTTGAGACTTGGTTCTCTCCTTCCACTCTGTGCATCCTGAGGACTGAACTCATATTGTCGGGCTCAGAGGAAAGCCTCTACCCACTGAGCCATCCTGCTATCCCGCCTTTTCTTTTTTCACACAGTACCAAAGTCACTATGCATCCAAGGGTGACCTTGAACTCCTGCTTCCACTTCCCCAGTACTGGCTTGACGACAGGCATGCACCACCACGTGTGTGTGTGTGTGTGTGTGTGTGTGTGTGCATGAGAAGGCCAGAAATAGCCTTAACAGTTGCTCCTTAGGAACTTTGAGGAGGAAAAATCATCTTTAATTTTTCAGACACGTTTTCTCACTATCCTGGGACTGACCTAGGCTGGCTGGCCAGTGAGCCCTAGGGATCTGCCTGTGTTTGTCTGCTCAGCTCTAGATTACATCTGTTTACCCCATACCCAGAAATTTACATGGGTGCTGGGGATTGAACTCAGGTCCTCACACTTGCAAGGCAAATATTTCATCAACTCCATTATCATGTTTTTTGATTTGTCCCAAAAGGGTCTCATGTAGCCCAACCCAAGCTGACCTTGAATTTCTGGTCCTCATATATCATCATGCCTTGGATACTAATCTTCCTTTCTGCAAATAATGCTTCCTACCTTTAGGCCTTTGCCCATGCTGTTCCCTTTACCACCCTCCTTTTCCTTCCAGGACCATCTCCTTTGGTGTGCCCCTCCCCAGACTAACCTTTATAGAAGGGCTGTGCAGACAGGAAGTCGTGCCTGGCAAAGCCCAGCCCTTGGGGACACAGGCTGGAGAATTCTGAGGAGCCAGGCTCCGGGCAAACCTTGCACTCGGCTCCCCACGAGGTTCCAATGCAGCAGCAACAGACATCCACCCTGTACTTGCCAGGCAGGGGGATTCCACAGGCATCCTCATCCCGGTGCAGGAAACACAGCCCCAGGCTCACATCTGCACAGACAAATGGGTAATCACTGGGTCCTATCCTTGTCACACCCGGGCAGGCTTCTCAGTCGGTATCACTTGTCTGGGATAGATTTAAAGAGCGAAAAGACGTGGCTTCCTCATGCTAAAGTTTGATGTCACCACACTGCCTGAGTGCTTACCATGCACTAAGTATTATTCTAAGTAACTCCATCTATTTACATTTCAAAGTAATGCCTAGAGGCGGGCTGAGGCTGCAGCTCAGCTCTGCCTAGAACTCCCCTTCCCCAGGGAAAGTCTTGGGTGTGTGGCTCAGTGGTAGACTCTGACTAGAATATACTGTGATACTCTAGAATATACTAGAATAGAATACACTAGAACATGGCTGGGAGTTTGGCTTGGCAGTAGAGCATCTCCTTAGAATCTTCCAGTGAGGGTTTGTGGCGGACCAGCAATAGAGTGCCTGTCTAGAATCTGCCAGTCAGGAGCTGGAACATGAGAACTTGCTTAGAATCTACCACTGAGGAACCAGTATTGTCCTTGGTAAATCTAAAGCTAAGCCACTCTCCAATTCCTGAACTTGATTTCCACCGCACTAAGCGACAACATAAAGTGATTGACACGTGTCACACATGTGTGTGAGGCAAGATCAAAAATGTCGACACCATAGCAAAAATACCAAGTGATTCCATTTCTCAAGATATAGTCCCTTTGGCAGGCAAGGCATGATTGTATGTTTTCCCACAGAGCCTGTACAGCCCTGAGAGGGAGTCTCGTGGGAACCCAGAGTTGATCGCGTTGTCAGTGCAGCAGAGCTTTGGCTCTCGCTGAAGGATGCTGATGGCGGTGAGACTGTGCTGTGCTGCATTATGTAACATGGGTTATATAACGCAGAGGGCTTCTTTCAGCTTTTGTATTTGCCTGTGTGGTAGCATGCATACATGCTTGATATTGGCGTGTCTTTCTCACCATTCCCCACTCTGTTCACAGGCTACAGTAGTTAGCTAGTTTGTTCCAGAGTTCCCCCATGTCTGCCTCCCCTGTGTGGGGATTACTGGCAGCCACTATTTTCATGTGTGTTTCACTGAACTATCTCCCCAGACCAACTTTTGATACAAACCCAAAACTGTCCTAACAGTCTGCTTGTCTAACAGTCTGCTTGTGTATGGGAGGAGTGTGTGTGTGTGTATTATATGTATGTGTACAAGTTCATGTGTGCATGCATGTGTTAGTGCATATGTGGTTAGGGGTCAATGTAGAATATCTTACTAGATCACTTTCCACATTATTTTTTATTTTGACACAGGGTCTCTCATAGAATCCAGAGTTGAAGACTCAGCAAGTCTTCACTGGTTGGCCAGTGAAACCCCAGACCCACCTGTCCTGCAAACACTATACCTTGTTCTTTTTATCCAGGTTTCCATGCTTGAGTGGCAGGCACTTTACACATGGAGCCATTTCCCCAACCTACTGTGCATTTTCAGAAGCAAACAAATAAACAAACAAACTCAAGAAGAGTCATCAGAATCCATCAGCCCACTGACTAGGAAAAGAGCCTATGAAGAAGCTATGAGTAGGTTGAAGGAGCTAAGGCAAAGATGTACTGGAAAAATATGTTTTCTTACTAGCTGACAAATTGTTTTGGTCAAGAAGTGGCCAGAAGAGCCAGGGAGCTCACCTAACCACACACGGGAATTGTGAAAGTAAAATGTCCCATCAGAATCTAGACAAAAGGCTATCTATCTGTTTGACACTGCAACGTGACATCACCTACAGATGCTTTGGGATACATTAGTAGCTGTTATGGGACACATACAGCCCTCAGGTGGTGACGTTGGACATGCCTGAGAAGGTTGGCTACCAGGGACCATTGACACTAATCATGGAGCCGTGGAATACTTCTGGCATTGAGCTTTAAAGGCCAGGGGTGTGGTGGGATGGATCAGTGGGTGAAGGGGTTTGCTAACTGATGATCCAAGCTTGAAACCCTAGAACACATATAGAGATGGAAAGAGAGAACAGACTCTACAAGGATGCACTGTGATATCCATATGCATGCATGTGCTCCCCTCCTCCTGCACAAAATAACAATAAGTTATTTAATTTAAATAACAATAAATAGGTAAATAAAAAAACGAGGTGGATGGTTCCCTAGGAACCATCCTTTCCAACAAACATGCACACATACCTGCACATATATGTGCATCCTCAAGCATAAACATGTACATACACATACAAACACACAGACCAGAGAAAGAAAACAAAGAAACAAGCATAAGCAGTATGCTAAGAATAAATGACTGTTGAGTACCTGGCCATATATGGGCTGTCTATATCACTTCCTACAAGTCTCAGGAGACACTATGGGAGAAAGGGACAGAAAAGGAGTAAGAACTGGTAACAATGTAGAGTGCTGACCTCCTTCAGCTCACAGCAGCTATGATTACCTGTTCAAGATCTGCAGAACCCTGGCCACATCAATGGCCTGCCCACCCATACAATCTCAACTCACCCATGCAACTCCTCCCATGAGGGCTGAGCTTGAAACCTGCATTGCACACACACTGAAAGCTGCCCTCTGTGTTTATAGATGGCAAAGGTCACCATGGATGATACACTCATTCATATCTGTGGGGAGGAAATCACAGGCAGCCAGGAGGCATCATCTTCCCCTGGCCAGGCTCCCTTTACCCATATCCTCCACTCTTGGGATGGGTGAATGGGTGGATGAATGGAAGATGGGTAGAAAGGTGGTCATATGGATGGGTGGGTGAATGGCTAGAGATGTAGCTGTGAGTGGATAAATGATTGGCTAGGTGGGTGGATGGAGGGTGATGATAGGGGGATGGATGGATGAGTAGACTGGTAAGTGGGTAGATCAACTGGTGGCAGAAATTTGCTATGTGGGTAGGTAGATGAGCAGATGGATGGATGGATGGATGAATGAATAGATGGATGGATAGATGGATGGATGGACAAAAGGATGGGTGTGTGGATCAGCAGATGTGTGGATGGATGAGTGGATGGGTGGGTAGATATAGGGTTGGGTACATGGATGGGTATATGGATAATGGATGGATGGTTATACCCACACGTACCTCCTTGGTGACCATGGTCTGGAAACCTTTATAGAAATGGCAGTAGTGGAAGCCCGGAGTGTTAGCACAGTTACCACAGTACTGCTGGTATATTTGTTCACATCTTTGCACAGAAGACACTGAGCCTAACAGAGTGGTGCCCACCCAGTCACAACTTGCTGATACATTCTCCATGTGAATCATGGGTATATCCCAAGTTGCATTCAGTGGTGGCTAGGAGGGGTGAGCTGGCAGTGACCACAAGGCACAAGTTTGTGAAGTGATGACTGATATCAATGGTCTGGTTCAGAGTGGCTGTGTTTTCAATGGAGCCAACAGGGACACCTGAGCACTAGAAGCCACTCATCTAGCCAGAATCCGAGCTTTGACTCTGGGTTCTGATACCAACAGAGCCTTTGACATGTCTGGCTTGAACACAATCTTCTTGTCCTAGCTTGCCTATTCAGATGCCAATCTTGGGCCTAGACCCCCAAGCTTGGGTGCAGAGCCTTCGTAAGAGTAAGACCCCTTACTAGGGTTTGAGTCTAAAATGTCCCTCACAAGCACATTGTGTGTGTGTGTGTGTGTGTGTGTGTGTGTGTGTGTGTGCTATTGGTGAGCCCAAGGTCCAGTGAGAGACCTTGCCTCAAAAAATAAGATGAGGGCTGGGCGGTGGTGGCACACGCCTTTAATCCCAGCACTTGGGAGGCAGAGGCAGGCGGATCTCTGTGAGTTCGAGGCTAGGCTGGACCGACAGCCTCCAAAATAATACTGAGAAACCCTGTCTCGTAAAACCAAAAAAATAAAAAAAAATAAGATGAGGTACACATGTGGAAGTCATGTCAGTCTGTCCCTTCCACTTTGTTAGAGTCAGGGTCTCATTGCCTTTGCTTATGCCAGGCTGATTGTCCTGAGCTTCCCAGGGAGATTTTCCTATCTTTCCCATATTATGGCAGGAACACTCTCTGGGATTACAGATATATGCTACTGTGTTCAGCTTATATAGGTTCTGGAAATCTGGACTCAAGCCTTCACTCTTGTACATCAAATTCTTCACCTACCAAGCCATCTCTCCAGTCTCCCATCTTAGTTTTTTGAGAAAGGGTCTGTCACTGGACCTACATCTGGATTTTTAAATGTGGGTTCTGGGGATTGAACTCAGGACCTCATCATTGCACAGCAAACACTCCACCAACTGAGCCCTCTCTATGGTTCTTATTTATTTTTTGTTTTGAGAAAGCATCTCACAAAGCTGAGGCTGACTTTGTACTAACTATGCAGCCGAGGATGACTTTGAACTCCAAATCTTAGTACTCAGGCTACAAATATGCACCCCAAGACTGTTTCACGCAATGCATTGTGCAGGAGAAGGAACTTGTGACTTCATGAATATTAGGAAAGCACTCTACTGGAGTCACATTCCCCAGGCCCCTCATGTGGACTTCAAGTAGTAACAGATAACCTATAGTTCCTGATACATTGTAATGCTATGCTAACATTCTCTTTGTGTATGTGTCCTTCAGAAAGAGAGAGACAGAGAGAGAGACAGACACACACAGAGAGTTTATGTGTGAGTGTGTGTGTGGTTGGGTGTGTTCACATATGTGCAGAATTTACTTTTTATGCCCATGTGTGTATGCACATATGTGTACAGTTCCCCCAGAAGCCAGAAGAGGGCATTGGATCCTCTGGAGCTGGAGTTACAGGCATTTGTAGGCCAGTTGGGATCTCTGGAAGAGCCAACTCATATAAATAGTTCCTGTATGTTGCTTATAAAACAACAAAAGAATTGGTGTACATTTAATGCAGATGTTTTCTTCTCAAAGACTTTCTAAGGTTAGTTTCAACAGTAGATATGGAAGGCCAACTATAGTTTCTACCCTAGGACTCCTTATCCAAAGCCCAAACTCCATGAGAGAGAAGCCTTCTTGCCTTCTTCAGGTTGCTTCCTCAGACTCAAGCCCAGCCCTAGGTTTTGAAACCCCTTATGCCACTAGGGCTCACCTCTGTTTGAGTTGCCAGAGCTCAGTGTTGGGACTCCACGCCTATTGGAATCATAGGAGTTGTGTTGCGCTGGCCCCAGGGCAGGTCCCAGGTTGTGGGTTCCAATTTCTGAGAGTCCAGGGAAGGGGTCTGCAGAGACAGGCAGCAGTGGGAACCCTTGGGTACACAGTCTCAGGAATTCACCTGCAAAGAATAGTTTGAAGGCCAGTGACCAAAAGTGCTTGCCTTGCAACCATGAAGACCTGGATGAAGGCAGAGGGAGAGAATCAGCTTCACATAGTTGTTGTCTAGTTTCCACATGCAATGCGCATGTATGGTCCTCCCATCACGCAATAAAACAAAATAGTAACTATGACGATAACAACAACAAAAAGAAATAATAGAACAGACTTTGAAGCCAGGCCACTGATCCCACCCTTGATCTCTTTACACATAAGCTCAAACTACCACTCACCAGAACCCCGTGGAGGACACAGCTTTGGCGATGAACCAGCTGCCCAGCACCTGCCCTTGTCACAGCAGCACTGTCTGTGAGTGTAGTGGCCAGGGAGGTCTACAGCACACTGACCCCTGATAAGCACGGAGAAGCAGGTGCCCACTTGGTGATCTACAATGGGATACAGGGTGGGGGTGGTTAACATAGGCTGGGCACAGATGGGCTCAACTCCCAGTGGTACCCTGCTGTCCCAGCTTTGTTTTATCGTCTATAAGCAAGGGTGCTCCAAGCACCAACAGTGTCTCAGAAGAGTGTTGCTTCAAAGAAAAATCTGGCATTGAGCTGGAGAGACGGAGAGCACAGGATCTGAGTTCGCTTCTCAGAACCACATAAAAAGCAAACAATCTGGGTGTGACAGCATGCAGTTCCAATCCCAGTACTGAGGAGGTGGAGAGAGCCAGATCCCTAGGGCTCACTGGCCACTCAGCGTAGCTAACTTGGTGAGTTCCAGGCTAGAGACCCTGCTTCGAAAAAGGGCAGTCAAAGTAAGGGGTGCTCTCAGTGGTTAAGAGGCTTGCTTCTCCTCCACAGAACCTGAGTTCTGTTCCCAGCTGTCATGCTGGGTGGCTAACAACCACTTGTAATTTCAGCTTTAGGGGACCCGATGCCCTCTTCTGGGCTCTGCAGGCCCCTGCACATAGATGACACACCCTCACACAGATACGTACACATAAATAACAGAATATAAATAAAATATAAATCACAGTTCCACTGGGACTCAAACTCAGGACCCTCTGCATGTAAAGAAGATGTGACAACCATTACACTATGGAACCCCAGGAAAAAAACATTAAAAAATGAGAAGCACAGTGCCTGAAGAGCAACACCTACAGCTCCTCTAGTACATACACACACATGCACACATACACACTTTGACATGTGGGTAAACTCTGCTCAATGCCTCCTGTTTTAAAGTTTTCTAAATCATTACAGAAGATGAATTCATCTCGACCACAGCCTCAATATCTCAAACTGTCTTCAGCAGTAAACTCTCCCTACTTGAGTATTCAAGCACCATGAGGAAGACCGCTCACTTCTTAGAAGAGGGTACCTGTTGTGAATTCAAGCAGGGATGTGGTGAACATGTTCATAAGTCCTTGCTTGCTGACATTGACCACCACAGGGAAGCATGGAGAAGCATTTCAAAGGGGTAGGTGGATGTTCTAGGATCCCGTAGTTACCTTGGCATGAGAACCACAGACCCTTCCTCTGCTTCTCTCCAGACCCTTGGTCCCATGACTTTACACAGGGACCATAGTTCTCAGGCTTATTTTTGGGTTAAATTCCTGAAAATAGTAGCTGGTGTCCTTTGGTTGAGAAACTCCTCCCACCAGCAGAGAAGGCTGTTGGTAGCTGCCCCTGTCCCATACTATGCTTCAAAGTCATCCCAATTTTACCCTGTGCACCTAGGGGCCTCCCAGGTAGTTAGGTAGGTGTATGTGTGTGTGTGTGTGTGTGTGTGTGTGTGTGTGTGTGTGTGTGTGTGAGAGAGAGAGAGAGAGAGAGAGAGAGAGATCTTCACTTGGTAATATCACAGCTACTCAGAAGAGATCTGTTCAGACAGGAAGAGGTTCACCTCTGGTTCAAGGTCACCCAGATGTTAAACTGGTTGAACGTGGGGAACCAGATTTTCTAACCACATGGGATCTGACAAGCAGCTGTCTCTCCAATAGGGAAGAGATTGCAAGAATTTTAACGTTAACTACAGTTGTCAATGATTTAAACTCCCTCCGTGAGCAAGTCCTGTGTTCTAGTCATCTAAAGTCACTTCAGCCTTTATCTCACTACATCGCACTATGATTATTCTCTCTCTTTCTCTCCCTCTCCCTTTCCCCACCTCTCCAGAGTGGCCTTACACTCATTCTGTAGCCAAGGGTAACCTTGAACTTCTGATCATCCTGTGCCCACCTCCCGAGTGCTAGAACGACAGATGTGAACCACTACAACTGCTGAACACAGAGCTGAGGGTGGAAGCCAGGGCTTTGTGCAAGCTACATAAACTCTCTGTCAACTGAGCCAAATCCCCAGCCCCATCACCGGCTATCCTCATCACAACCGTTCAAGATTGGTATGGCTACTATCCCGTTTGATAGATGGGGGAACTGAGACACAATGAGACTTTTTAAAAGTAGTTGAATAAAATTTCATAGTCTAGGAACAGCTCAGCTAGAAATCAAAACTTGGGACGGAGGCTAGAGAGATGGCTCAACAGAGGACCCAGGTTCAGTTCCCAGCACCCACGTGGTGCTCACAACTGTCTGTGACTCCAGTTCCAAAGGATCTAATGCCCTCTTCTGGCCTCCTCATGTATCAGACATGCATATGATATACAGACATATATGCAGACCTGCGTGTGTGCCCATGAGTGTGCACACACACACACATGCACACACACACACACATGCACACACACACACACACACACTAACCACACTCAGGACCAAATCAACGTCCATGTTTGGAGACAATTGGATTCTGTAGCTGGGTCAGTCCTTTGAAATCCAGAGGACATGCTGAGGTCCACAGGCTGATGTCCTGCTATTATGCTGGCAATGAAGGACCCTGGAGGTGGGGCCTGGACAAATCCCAAACACAATATTCTCAGTCCTGTCTTATACAGGCCTAGCCCGAGTGACTTGAGGTGATGCTGGGAATGGGCCACACCTCCTCTTTCCTCTAGTAGAACTCTGTCCATCCTCCACTCCCATCCCCATCCATATTCCTAGGCAGTCTGTGGGCCCTGGAAATTAACTGGACTGGGAGGGTCATGGCGACTCTGTGTGGGACAGAACCACCCCTGCCTGGAGGAAAGTGTAGGGGACTGCATAGCAGATCCAGACACAGGGCACTCCAGCCCTCTTGCCAGTCTGGGCAACTGGATGTAGGTGTTTCTCTGTTCTACCCAAGCCAGCCTTTCCTCTCTGGGCCTCAGTTTCTCCTTTTCAAAAAATGAAGGGATACTGAGAAAAGTTCTTAAGCAATCAGAGGGGCTGATGGGCAGAAGTACCCAGACACCAATGAAGGAAAACAACACAGGTAAAGACTCAAAGGTCAGGAGGGGTCCAAGTTGAAACCTGGGAGGGGAGTCATTTTGCCCATCATACCCTCTCCAGCCCTTTGAGGTCATTGGGGGCACAGAGGAGCGACAGAGATGGAAGCTAGGGGCACAGACATGAGGGCTAGAATCTGGAAGGGAGACATGAAGATCAAGGCTGGAGGGTTAGAGGTTGGCAAAAAGATGGCTACAAGAGGAGACCTGGGGGGCACAGAATTGGAGGCTACGGGGGATACAGAGATGAAGCTACGGGGGTGTGATGGGAGCTGAAGTTAAGAAGAGAGTGTGGTAGTAGGGTAAAGGCATCCATCTATCCAAAGGGGCATAGAACCAGAGAGACAGACAGGCATGGTGGGAGCATGTCTGTGTGCGGGAAGATGGGGGAACAGCAGAATCGAGAGGCTGAGCTGGGAGAGCGGAGTGCTAAAGGACAGAAAAAGGGGCCAAAAGGACCCCCAGACCAGAGTCTGAGAGAGCGTAGACGCTAGGAAGACAAGATGGGAGGGAACAAGGGTCATTGGTACCGGTGACCAGAGAGATGGCCTTGGGGTGAGACAGAGGTACGGTGACCTCTGTGTCCCTCTTCAGCCCCTCGGCCCGTCTCACCCAGGCAGTGGGCTCCATCCAGGCTGCTGACGAGGCTTCCACGACAGGTGCACACATAGCTCCCAACTGTGTTTGTGCAGTCACCCCTGGAGCAGAGCCCTGGCACACCAAGGCACTCATCTCGATCTGCACAGACAGACAGAAGCAGAGCCAGGCTCCTCACCAGCCCAACGCTCTCCCCCTCGGCAGGTAGCCAAGACGACATACACATACGCCACCTTCACACTTGGTGCCTCTGGCACTGAGATGGTATCCAGCGGGGCAGTGGCACTCAAAGGAACCCACTGTATTGACACAGCTGCCACCCTGGCACAGGCCTGAGATGACTCGGCACTCATCCACATCTGCAGGGATAAGTCCAGAAAGGGAGTCGGAGGGAAGAACCAACTCGGTGTGTGTGTGTGTGTGTGTGTGTGTGTGTGTGTGTGTGTGGTGGTGTATGTGTGTGTGTGGTATATGTGTGTGTGGTGTATGTGGTATGGTGTGTGTGTGTAGGTATGTGGTGTGCGTGTGCATGTGTGTGTATCTATTGGGGAATCTCCACTCAGCTGGCTCCCCTCTCCCTTGCTTACCGCACAACTCACCTTGGCAGGCTCCTGTGTGAACATTTGGGATGAAGCCTCGGCGGCAGGGGTGTGGCTGTGCAGGACAGAGCTGGCAGGGAAGTCCCCAGGCATGGCCCACAGTGGCACAGCAGAGGGCTTTGGGGCACGTGAGACCTGTCGGCTGGTGTTGGCATCCCTCAGGACTCACTTGGGGGAAGCAGGGGCCCACCTGGTAGTCTTGGTAGTCTGTGGATCAGGCAGATGCAGGCACCTGACTCTGAGCAGTCTCTGCCGCCGTCCTCCACATGGGTGCGCAGGCCTCTAGACCAACATCCCTGGCCGTTTCTTTCCTATGACCTCCTAGTGCCTTTCCTGACAGGATGCCCTTTTTACCTGACAAGCAGCTACTCATCTGTCAAAACATTTAGTACCTTCACACAAATAACCTCCAAGAGAGAACCTGCAAACCTTATCTCACTTGGTCTCTCTCATGCTTCCTCCAAGCAGACACCATGGATGTCTGTCAGGAGGGCCTGTCTCACGTGTGAGTGCACTCCTGGCCCTGCCCTGGTGACACCGTGACCTTGTACCCTCAGGCCTAGCAGAAGGGAGCTGCATCAGTTTTCCCAAGCACAGTGCATGGGCCCATTTGTGACGTCTGTCTCCACCCTTCAGGTGTCTTCAATAACAGGGCTGGCACAACACCAAGGGCAGCCCCTCCCAGAACAAGCCAAACGAGCCAACCGCCCTCCTTACCAGGCCCCTAATGAAGGAGGCAGCTTGTACTCAGCCCTCCTGGGCCTTTGATGCCCGCCACCACCCTGGGCCCTCTTCCGCCTTCCACACTCACCTGCACTCCCCTCACCGCTGACACACTCACCCACACTCCCCTCACTGCTGACACACTCACCCGCACTCTCCTCACCGCTGACACACTCACCCGCACTCTCACTGCTGACACACTCACCCGCACTCCCCTCACCGCTGACACACTCACCTGCACTCCCCTCACCGCTGACACACTCACCCGCACTCTCCTCACCGCTGACACACTCACCCGCACTCCCCTCACCGCTGACACACTCACCCGCACTCCCCTCACCGCTGACACACTCACCCACACTCCCCTCACCGCTGACACACTCACCCGCACTCCCCTCACCGCTGACACACTCACCCGCACTCTCCTCACTGCTGACACACTCACCCGCACTCTCCTCATCGCTGACAGCCCATATTCTGCTTTCTCCTCTTCTGGCTGAAGTGTTTCCAAACCATTCTAGAACCCGGGTACACCTCCCGCAGCCCCTCCAGCCTCCAATTCATGACAAGCCTCTCTTCAACCTAGAAAGGACCCTTGCTGCCATCAGTAACCCCAGCCCCTCACTGGGGGATTCTAGGTGGGTGCCCTAGGGCTGAACCTCACCTGTAGCTCCTCTCTGGGAGATTGTCAGCCAGTGTTCACCAGTGAGTCACTCCTCAGACCTCTTTCTTACTTTTAGAGACAGAGTAAAACTATGTAGCTCAAGTTACAATAGTAGCTTGTCCCTTGTGACTGACCATCTCCCACAATAGGCATCAGTCTCAGGGCCCCTGATGTCCGTCACCTTTAGGCTCCCCGACTACACAAGTCACTCTGCTAACTTCTGTGTATGAGAATCACGCCCATGCCTTGTCCTCCTGTCAGCGGTCCTTTGCACCCCTTAGACACCGTGCTTCCTGTCTGTCCTGAGATGCCAGGCCCTCCTCTCTCCTTCCCGTCCATTTTCTCCCTAACATGCTCCAAGCACCCAGTCCTCACGGACAGGGCAGCCTTGGTGCCTTCTCGGGTTCTTGCAGCTCCCTAGCTAGTACTGAGATTAGGGTCTCCCTTGCCCTGCCCTTAATACACTATCTACCTCAACCGTCAAGACTGGATCTGGGCTCAATTCTCAGCTCCACCCCTCTTCTCTCCACCCCACACCCAGGCACCTTCGGATGGTCTAGTTTACACAATCCCACTCACATCCACTGATGGACAATTTTAAGAGTAGGTTCAACTGGGTGTGATGCTGCATGACTGTCATCTTGACTTGTCCTGTTCCAGGGGCTAATGTGAAAGGATCACAAAGCCAAGCCGGGTTTAGGAGACACAGCAACACCCTTCCTCAAAGAGTTAAAAAGAACCTGGGATGGCGGTGCATACCTGTACACAGAGCACTCAGGGGGCAGAAGAAAGTGCACCTCTGTGAATTCAAGGCCAGTTAGGTCTACACAACCATTTCCAGGCCAGGTAGGGCTGCATAGTGAGGAGAACAGAAGGAAACAGGGAAGGGGGAGGGAGGGAGGGAGGGATGAGGGAGAGAGGGAGGAGGGAGGGAAGGAAGGATGGGGAGGATGGAGGGAGAATGAATAGAAGGAGGAGGGAGGGAAGGAAGGAAGGATGGGGAGGAGGGAGGGAAGATGGATGGAGGAAGGATGGAGGGAGGAGGAAGGGAGGAGGGAGGGAGGATGGAGGGAGGAGGGATGAAGGGAGGAGGAAGGAGGAGGAAGGGAGGAGGGAGGGTGCATGGAGGGAGAGAGGGAGGGAGAAAGCATGGAGGTAGGAGGGAGGAAGGACGGAGGTAGGGAGGGAGCAGGGAGGAAGGATGGATTTCCTTATGGGGCGGGAGAGATGCTCAGCAATTAAGAGTGTCTGCTATTCTTGCTTCAGTTCCCAGCACTCTTATCAAGCAGCTTTCAACCACCGCAGGAACGTAACTCCAGCTCTGGGGGATCTGATGCCGAGGCTGGGGAGAGGCTCAAGGGCACAGTCCCTGCCTAGAATCCCCTAGTGAGGGGCTGTGGTCCAGTTGTAGAGTGCCTGTTTAGTTCTCCAACCAGACCTGAGTTGAATCCCTAGTGATGGTGACAGAGAGTTGGGGCAAAAGAGGCTTCAATAAAGAGGCTTGCCCATGCCCCAGGGATCACTTTCAGAGCCAGGGTTTAGGTGGGCAAGGTGGTGCATGCCCGTGATCTAGGTATTCAGGAGACCGAGGCAGGAGGATCAAGACTGAGCTTCAAGAGCACCTGGACCGAATAGTAAAACTGAAGCCTATCTGGGTAACTCAGTGTGGCCTGCCTTAAGAAGTTAAAATGCTGGCTTGGGAGATGGCTCAGGGAGTAAAGGCACTGCCACCAATTCCAATGACATGAGTTTGATCCCCAAACCCTGCATGTTGGAAGGAGAGAACTGACTCCAGCCAGTTGCCCTTTGACCTCTGCATGCACTGTAGTGTGAGCATACACATAAATGAATAAAGGTAATAACATCTTTAAAAGTAAAACCTTTTCAAGATTCAGCGGGGAGGTCTCATTCTCCAGGAAGTCCCCTTGAGCCCGACAGCTCATGACCTCTCTGTGCTTGTCATGACAATTAATCCCAGGGTTAGTGGTTTCTTCTTCCTATTCCCAGATCAACACAAACTTTTTATTTTCTAAGCAAAATAGCCAATTTAATTAAGAAAACTATTTCGTGTGCATTGGTATTTTTTCTGGATATATGCCTGTGTGAGCGTGTCAGATCCCCTGGAACTGGAGTTACAGACAGCTATGAGCTGTAGTGTGGGTGCTGGGAATTGAATCCAGGTCCTCTGGAAGAGCAGCAGGTACTCTTAACTTCTGAGCCATCTCTCCATTCCCCTCTGCCCCACCCAACACAAACCCTTTCGAGGCAGGCCAATGAGCAATAGCTGCTATGCAGAGTGAATGCACAAAGGGAAGCCATGGTCCTCAGACTGCCCTGGAAGGAGCAAAGCAGACATCTATCTGCACTTGGAACCCAGCCATGTCTTGTTCCCTGCCCCCTTCCTCCCCAAGTTCTTCTCAGTACCTCTCTCACACTGAGGTCCGACGAATCCATACACACATGCACAGAGGTTTGGCCCGATGCAGCGTCCTCCATTACGGCAGCCGTGGACACAGATGGCTACGAAGAGATAGGGAGGACGACTGAAGGTTTCCTAGAAGCAGAGGGGGCTGGGACATAAGGAAGCCTTTCTTTATCTAGGGATGCCCACCATCTGGACCAGGGTGAGTAAGACTGACTAATGAGGGATGGCTTAGTCAGCAAAGTGCTTGCTGTGTAAACATGAGACGCTGAGCTCAGCTTCTCAGCACCCATGCAAAAACTGCAAGCGATGATGCTCTGTAATTCTATTGCTGGGGAGCCAGAGGAGATGGGTCTCTGAGAGTTCTCTAGCCAGGTGGCCTCGCTGAATAGGTGAGCTACAGGTTTAATAAGAAACTGTGTCTCAAAAACTAAGGTGGAGGTGGAGAACAGTTGATGGAGATACCTAACATTGATCTCTGGCCTCCACATGCGGACACACACACACACACACACACACACACACACACACACACACGCACACACACACCCCTGCACAGCCCATGCCTGCCCCCACATACTAGTGCAGCTTGTCACCTTTGATCTTTGGTCTTAGATGACGGACTCATGGACAGTGGGCAAGAGATAAGGAGACCCATTCTCTGAGATTCCAAACATAAGTGAGAGCAGCAATGGGGATACTCACGTTGTCCACACACAGTGCCCGTGTAGCCTTTCGGGCATAGACAGGATTCCCCTCGGCAGCTGCCCCCATTCATGCAGCTCATGCTACACCCCAATGATGCTATGGATCAGGAAAAGACACAGTTAGGTAAAGATGTTCCAGGAAGGCTTGGTCAGGGCTTGGCTCTTGTCCTTCAACGAAACCAACCTGGGATCCTAGTGGCATTCAGGCGCCTAGAGTCTTCTCTTCCTCCCGCAAGAGGCCACTGGCCACTCACCTCTACTTACTCCGCAGCTGGGGGCCAGGGTCCCATCCAAGCAGGCACACAGGTTGGGCTGGGAGCAGAAGCCGTTGCCACAGGTGTGCCTGCAGACAGCTGGCAAGGCAGAGTGTACACCATCAAAACCGGGACCCGGGGTCTTAGAGATGACTCACTGGGTAGAGATACTTGATACCCAAGCCTGGTGACCTGAACTCACCTCCCCAGAACCCATGTAAAGGTGGAAGAAGAGAACTGACTTCACATAAACGTCCTCCGACATCCACATGTGTGTCATGGCACGTGTGCCTCCACACGCTCAACATGCACACACAGTGTAATAACTAACCAACAACTACACAACGAAATGTGGTAGTGCACATATATCAACCCATCCCGTGGGAGGGAAGGGAGCAGGAATGGAGGGGGAAGGCTGAAGGGAGGGAGAGGGAAAGGGACATAGGTTCTATGCCACACTCACTCCAAAGATGCCAAGGCTGGTAGAAGCCTCAAGGTGGATCAGCTGGTCTTCCCAGCTTGCAGTTCTCCTCATACCCTGAATGCATGGGACAGCCCCCAACCCCCGTCCCAAGTCTCTGTCTAGGCTGGGCAGGTGCTGTGACCTTCAGCTCCAGGATTTTGCTACATCATCCGGAGAGATGATGTGGGTGTGAAGACTAAACTTCAGGGCACAGAGGCCGGAGTGGTGAGGACTCTGACAATAGATTCAGAGTCTGGAGACGGCGAAGCTGGAGCTGGGGAAGAGGGTGTGAAATTGACAGCGTGAGAGGCCTGAAGAAATATGGGGACAGACGAGAAGACAGGAGAGCCAGCCAGAAATGGCAAGATGGGAGGGCAAAAGAAATGAATGCCAGGTGGGCAAGGGGGTTCAGAAGGTAAGGGCACTTGCTCCCAAGCCTCGTGACTTTTTCATCCCCAAGACCTACATGGTGGAAGGTGAGAATGTACGCAAGTACCCTCACATACACCATGGTGTGCTTCACCCACCCAACAAAATAAACAAAATACACTTAAAAACAGATGAATGAACGCAGCAAGCCACCCTGGAGTCTAAGGACAAAAGCATGGGACATTAGTGGGGCTCACCTAGCAGCCCCGACCTGAATTCCAACTCCTTATGTAGACAAGGCTGGGATTACTGACAGGTGGCAGGGAGGACCTCCACACATCCCCAGCCTGTACCCTCCATCTCCATGCTTCAACACTCACGCACAATACACTGGTTCCTGCCAGGCAGAGTCCTCCAGCCAGGGCAACAGTAGGCATGAAAGCGGGAACCACACACATTAGGCCTTTGGGAGAAAGTGGGTGATGTAGCTACTTGTCCCCTCACTCCAGGATAGCCCTTCCCTGCCCACACCCAAGATATATTTCAGCATCCCGGGTACCACACACCCCTGCAAAATGATGACACGGCTGCCTTGTCTTCTCACATGACCTGGACTTGCAGATTTCAGGGTCCCATCCCAGTGGCCTTGGCCATTTTCCATGCATGATAGAACCACCCAGGCCAGCAGAATCCGAGCTGGAGGGCCCCAGGCTGTAAGGAAGGCTCCAGAGTCTCTCCTTGCCCAACATGGGCCTTCCAGAGTCATGCTGTGTCTTTGGAGGCTGCAAGGAGCAAGCAGAGGAGTCAGCCCCAAGTGAACTGCATGGTAAGGAGGCATGCCATAGAAGGCATAGCAGTGGCAAGTCTGCCTGGGAGACACGAGTTCTGGCTTGAGGAAGCAGATGAACAAGTGGGGCAGGCTTCTTGAAGAGTATGACTTTTATTTAGTGTGTTTTTTATGTGTGTCTATGCATGTGCATTTGCAATGTGGAGGCCACAAGGCAACCTCTACTGTCATTCTTGGTGGACAAGGCTTCTTGCTAGGCTGGGACTCACCAAGTAGGCTAGGCCGGTTGGTGAATGAGCCCCGATCCTTCATCTCTGTATGCTCAGTACTATCAATTTTAAATGGGTCCTAGGCAACTGGACACAAGCCTTCCAGCTTACAAAGCAGGCGGTTCACGGACGGAGCTATCTTGTACTCCCAGGATATGATATGTCACAGGTGGAAGCCACTGTAGAGGGTTTATGGCCAAAAAAAGGTGCAGAATGGGAGAAAAGGACAGGTGGGTCCATGGTTGTGCAGCGAGGGCAATGAAGAACTCCTGAAATGTTTCTGGTGAAGTGAGGAAGGGATGTGGGGTCCCCAGAAAACGCTGGGCGGGGAGACCTAGATGATAGGAATTGATAACAAGGAATAACACAGAAGGCAAACAGTCAGCAAGAGTAGGTGGGGATCCCAGTGCGGGGAGGAGATTGAGGAGACCCCAGAATTCTGGCTGGGAGGGTTGAGAGAAGGGGTGGTTAAAGGCTGGGGATTTGGCTTGGATTTGTCTTGCAACACGGTGATCTGGATTTGCCTTCCAGAACCCATGTAAAGTGACCAAGCATGGTGGTTCATGCTCTTTTTAAAAGTATTTTTTTATGTGTATGGTTATTTGTGCCTTCATCTATGCCTGTGTGCTATGCAAGCATCTGCTGCCCAAGGGGGCCAGAAGAGGGCATTCGATTCCCTGAAACTGGAGTGTAGTTGGTTGTGAGCCTCCAATGAGGGTGCTAGGAATCAAACCCAGGCCCTCTGAAAGATCAAGTATTCTTAACCTCTGGGCCACCCACTGCAGCCTCTTTATCCCAGCACTGGGGAGGAGGAGACAGGCGGATCCCCGGCTCACTGGCAATCCAGTTTGGCCTACCTGGTGAGTTTCAGGTCAATGAGAAACCCAGGCCCTAAGAACCAAAGTGGATGGTGCTGGAGGAACAGTACCTGAGACTGACCTCTGACCTTCACATGTATGTGCACACGTGTGCACCTACACATGCATACACAGCCACACATTCCACACTTAAGAAGTGGTAAGTCTAAGGAGGCAGCTGGGCATCCTGACATTTCCGTCTAGTTCACCTGTGGACAAAGCAAGACTGCATCACATGGTGAGTGAGAAGATGCAAGGTCCAGCCGCCCATGCTCCTCCCAGAATGCTTGGCTCTTTCCTTGGCCAGAAAGAGTGAACTTGGGAAGATAAGGTTTGGAGCACTCCAGGTTGAGGCCATCCCACCAAAGGGTAGGCTGGGCTGGGGAGAAGGCTCAGCCCAGTAGAGGCGCTTGAGGACTTAATGTTTTTTCCACATGGACCCTCATGGCGGAAGGAGAGTCAACTCCCACAAGTTGTTCTCTGACTTCCACAACGTGCTCCTCCCTCCCCCCCCACTCCTGCCCACAAACTAAATACATTTCCAAAGTGTAATAATAGTAGTGTGTTACATTTCTTTTGTAAAACGTTTGGACACAGACTGGGAATGGAATGCAGAGTGCTTCCCCAGCACGCGTGAAAGCGGGGGCTGATGCCCATAAACTTGGTGTGGTGGTGCCTGCACGTGTTGTCATCTTGTGGGAAAGTAGAGGCAAGAAGATGGTGACTCGAGGGTGACTACAGAGCAAGACCCTGTCTCAAAAACAGTTTGCAGAGGGAAAACTGGGGGCCTCGAGGTGAAGTGAAAGTCTGACCAGGCATTTCTAAGCTTTTGTTAACTTAGAGCAGTGGCTCTCAACCTCCCTAACGTATTAACTGTATTAACTCTTTAATACAGTTCTTCGTGTTGTGACCCCATCCACAGCATTGTTTTTGTTGCTACTTCATAACTGTAATTTTGCTACTGTTGTGAATCTTAACATAAAGTTTCTGGAGCTAGTTTGCTAAAGGGGTCGCCACCTACAGGTTGAGAATCTTAGAGGCCAGCCTAGGCCTCTAAGGCATTTGTCTTGTTTCCAGGGGGTCTAATCAATCTGGCCAGTCTTTGCTTCTGATAGTTTCAGCTCTCACCACCACCCTTTCGTGTGTGTGTGTGTGTGTGTGTGTGTGTGTGTGTGTGTGCGCGCGCGTGCGTAGAGAGAGAGAGAGAGAGAGAGAGAGAGAGAGAGAGAGAGAGAGAGAGAGAGAGAGAGAGAGACTCGCTGTACCCTCCCACACTCCCAAACTCTTAAAGCTAGGTCTCCAAAATTAGTTGGATGAGTTAAGTTGTCTCAAAGGCAAGCAGAACTTGGATGGGAAGATGCGCCCCCCCCGCCCCTCCCTGCCGCTTCCTCTGCTGCCTCAGCGAGAACAAGGGGTCCCAGAAGGAGGCACCCCTGAGTGCTTGGGCAGCAACCTCTAACCATTAGTCCACTAGTGCCAAGCTACTGAACCTCCTTGGTTCCTCTGGGTGGTGCTCGGCTCCGCCCTCACCTGCGGATCAGAAACTGGAAGCCTGGGTACGGGGTTTCCCGGCACCCCACAAGAACGCGCCCAGTAGAGAGTGGAGAGGGGAAGGAGGCTGGGCCAGGGGCTGCCCGGCTGCAGACAAAGGAATCCCCCACTCGGTGGCGGCCAACCGAGCTCCCTCCCTGCTACTTCTGGACCTCCCTTCCTCTGCATTCCCAGCGGTCGCTGGTTCACAGGTCGCCAGCCTTTCCCTACCTGCTGGGGCCGCTAGAAGAGGCAGCTGACAAGATGCGCAAGCTAGGGGCCCCCTGGAGCAGCAATGCAAAAGCCTGGGAGGGTTGAGCCGCCGCGTGCCCAGCTCCGAATTGAGGGAACTGAGGGCGGGAGGAGTTTGGGGGAGGGTGCGGTTGCACCTCTGAGCCTGGGCGGGGAGAATTGAGAGAGGCTGAGACTGGGGGAAGGCCTGAAGCTGGCCTGCAACTCCAGCGATGCAAGGGATTCCTGGAACTGCGGGCCTCCTAGTGTGCATATTGACTAGTAGCAATGGAGTTAAGGTGGCCCTGAGGTGGTTTCCGGGTGCGCGGGGTGATCAGAAGGCCGTAGGCACGGGGAGGTCCTGAGACTTACCTGGGAGGTCTCCCATGTTCCTGCCACTTTCTCCCTAGGGCAAGGAGAATTCTGAGTATAGCATTGGAAATTCACCTGTGTGTTCTCTAGAGGAATAAAACTGATAAAATATGCATTCATATAATATACACACATACATACATGCATACATACATACAATTTACTAGAGTAACTTACAGGCTGTGGTCCAAGCTAGTTCAACAATGGAGGTCTACGTTCAAAGGAAAGCCCAAGAATCCCATGGTTGTTCAGTCCCGAGGCTGCCTGTCCGCTGGTTTTCAGTATAAGCCAGAATCCCGAAGGAGGAGGCTCTAATGCCAGCGAAGGAATGAACTTGCCAGCAAGAGTGAGGGAAAGCAGGCAAAGAGAGCAAGCTTCCTCTTCCAAACGTCCTTTATATAGGCTGCCCCGCCAGAAGATGCGGTGGGTTAAAGGTGGCTCTTCTCACCACAGAAGATCGGGATTAAGGTGGGTCTGACCACTTCAAAATGAAGAGGTTAGCATAGAGAAGATGTAGAATTCAGCATTTCAGCTCAATTACTGGAGACTGAAGTCAGGGGCTCACACACCCTGGCCCCATTGGGGTATTTTAGGCAAGGGCTCTACAGCTGACTCTATCTAACCCCTCCTGGGGGATTTTAAGCCCCTCCTCCTCGTGGCTGAGCTTCCTCTCTCAGACTCTAGAGACATCTCCCTCATTGACATTTCTGACAATTTTGCCATCACTTTGGGACTAACCCACCACCAATAATCCTGAATATGGGGTCTTGACAGAAGCTGTTTCTTGGATCTAAAATTGTTATTCTACCCAGCAAAATGCTATGTAGCTAGCAAACCCAATTTGTTTTAGTCTTCCTCTCCCCCCAAAACACTAGCTTTCTCTATGTAATCCCCAAAGCTAAATGAGCTGACCATGTATCATCATAACACTTCTAGAATGTAGTAAACAAACAAACAAATAGCTTGTAACAATTTGAAGTGGTAGACAGTGGCAGGCAGATCTCTGAGTTTGAGAATAGCCTGGTCTACACATTGAGTTCTGGGACAGCCAGGGCTACACAGAGAAACGCTGTCCCAAAAAACGAAACAATTGGAAGCTTGTTGAGTGCTTTCAACTTGACAGACTTGATTTAGACTTTAGTATATCCTATCTAATTTTATTTAAGTTAAGTAAATAACTTGTTTCCACTGTGTTGATTTTGACTGTGCTGTTTATCATAGTAATAAAGCAAACCTGGACAGGTCCCATATGTAGGGAGGTATGTGGTGTGTGTGTGTGTGTGTGTGTGTGTGTGTGTGTGTGTGTGTGTGTGTGTGTGTAGGCCAGAAGGAAACCTCAGGAGTCATGTTGTTTTTGAGAGAGGATCTCTCACTGGACCAGAGCAGGTGGTCAGCCCCAGGGACCTCTCAGGTCCTCCTCCCTGTACGGCATGACAAACATGGGACACTGGGCCTGACTTAACAGGGACTCTAAGGATCAGACTTAGATTCTCAGGCTTGCAATTCAAGTACTTTATCCCAATCCCAGCATGTCTTGAGTTTCCCTTTCTCATCATTGCTTCTGGTCTGCGCTAACTCCCCCTGAAGCCCATCACAGCCTCAGGCTCTTACTTTGACACCCCATGCCTATGCCTGTAGGACCCTACACTTTTTTTTGTCTGTTTAGTTTTCTTTTTGAGGCAGTGTCTTCCTATGTGACTCAGGCTAGCCTTTACTTGAGGTGATCCATCTGCTTCAGCCTTGTGTCAGGACTGCAGGCATGGGCCACCACGTCTGGATCTTTTACCTGACACATTGTCATACACATTGTCCTTTGTCACCAAACATTAGCTTCCCTGCTAAGGTGTTTGAACGGATTGAAGCATCTCTGGTCAGCTCGAGTGAGGCAAACATGGCTGTGGCAGGTCTTACCCATCTCCCCCATCCCCTTGTGTTGAAATCCAGCAATCAGAAGCCTCATTTGGCTACCCTAATTAGCACGCCCTATTAAAAATAACACCTCATCCTACGGGTTTCCCCTTGCACCATTATAAATTGTCACTTTCCTATGGGCCATGTCTGTCTCCTCTCTATCCAGAGGCAGACCTTTGTCACACACAACCCCCACACTCCTGTCCCCTCCATTGTCACTGTCCCCCTTTCCCTTATCCTCCTTCTCCTGTCTTTGTCTTTTGTTCTCTGCCCTCTGTCCCTCTGGGGCAAAGAAATCTGTTCTGAGAACTCGGTCTTGGGGGTCCTGAGCCCATAGTTCTCCTTTCGCTCATGGTCCTCTGCCTGGGCCTTCCGAGTGCCAAGATGACAGACATGGACCACCATGCCTGACTCAAGCTTCTGTTCTTTACAGACTGTTTGGTCTCTGGTACTTGAGTGTTTTCTAGAAATCAACACAGGTCAAATATTGCTTTCCACTCTAAAATTTAATTGCATGTATTTATTTATTTGTATTATGTGTGAGGTGCACATGTATCATGATATATGTGTAGGTTACACACAACTTATAGGTCCTGGGAATCAGATCCAGGTGGTTAGAGTTGGTAGCCGGTATCTTTCTCTGCCAAGCAATATTAGTAACCCCTACTTTATTTTTTTATTTTATTTTTGAGAAAATGTCTTTCAGTAAACCTGGATCTCACTGTTTTGTCAAGACTGACTGGCTAGCAGGCTCCAGATATTCTCCTGTCTTGTCTCCTACCCCCCCCTGGGTCACATGTGTACAATGCCATGCTGGGGATCCTAACTCAGGCGCTTATGCTTGTGTAGCAAGCACTTTATTCCCTGAGCCATATCCAGAGATTCTTGGTCTCTGGTATGAGTTTGTTTGAGACAGGGTCTCATAAAGCCTATGCTGGTCTCACACTCACTGTATTAGGCAGGGTTCTCTAAAGAAACAAAACTATAGAATGAGTATTGTGTGTGTGTGTGTGTGTGTGTGTGTGTGTGTGTGTGTGTGTGTCTGCATGGGGGTGTGTACCAGTGAGATTTATTAGAGGACTTTATAGTCTGTGGTCCTGGAAGTCCAACAATGAGTGTCTCACAAAGGAAAGTTTGAGAATATGGCAGTTATTCAGTCCATGAGGCTGGATGTTTTAGTGGTCGCAATCTGCCGCTGGAGTCCTGGAGGATTCTTGGAACTGCTGCTGGGCTTCAATCAACAGTGGGATGGGCTCTGAAGTTGATTTAATACCAGTGAAGGACAGATGAACTTGCCAGTCAGAGTGAGGGCAAGCAGACAAAAACCAAAAGCTTCCTTCTTCCATGGTCTTACTTTTCATATTTTTGGGTGACTATATAATAATTATATCGTTTTTGTCTTTCCTTCCTCCAACCCCTCCTCCCTGCACTCTCCTTTGCTGTTACTCAAATTCGTGGCCTCTTTTTCTTTACCTGCCGTTACATATGTATATGTGAGTGTGTGTGTGTACACATATTCATATTTCTAAACAGAGAACTACAGCCTGCTCATTCTGTATAATGTTGTGTTATGTATTGTATGTATATGTTTTCAGGGCTGACCATTTGGAATTGAGTAACCAACTGGTGTGCTTCTATCGCCAGAAGGTGTGGCCCAAATTTAGGGTGGGTCTCCCCAAATGAAATTATCCACTCAGGAAAATCCCTCACGGGAGTGCCCAGCTACTTGGGTTTTAGCTGACTCCAGATGTAGTCAGGCTGACAGCCAAGATTGGCATCACACTCAGTGTGGAGCTGAGAATGACCTTTATAGGCAGAGTTTTCTGTTAGGATCGAGATCAGCTCTGTTCCACCAGCCGCTTCCCAAATAGCCATCCAGAGACTTATTGTTAATTATAAATGCTTGGCCAACAGTTCTGCTTGTTTGTAGCTAACTCTTACAACTTAAATTAACCCGTTTCTATTAACCTACACTCTGCCTCGTGGCGTTACCTCTCTTTCTTCTTGCACCTCCTGTTCCTCTCCACGTCTGCTTGGCGACCCCTCTGACTCTGCCCTTCTTTTCCCCAGCATTCTCTCCAGCCTATCCATTGGCCAATCAGCTTTTTTGTTAACAATGAGAGCAGCGCATATTTGCAGTGGGCAAAGATTGTTCCACAGCAGGCCTTGAACTCACAATCCTCCTGCTTCAGTCTCCCAAGTGCTAAATAACCTCTGCCCCTCTCCCCAGTCTTGCCGTGTAGTTCAGATTTGCCTAAAATGCGCAATCTTCCTGCTTCATCCCCCCCCCCAATGCTGGAATTACACATGAGTACCACCATCCCACCTTTTGACATCAAACGTCTTAACATTCTCCCTGTTCTCACGATGGCATTGCCATTTGTTGTCACGATCTTGCACCACTGAGATCCCCTCCACACCCTCCTCTGTCATCCTTTTAATGTGATTCTCAGTGAGTCCAGCCTGTCCTCCCTTCTACACACCCTACTCTTTATTCTCTGGACCTCCCCAGAGGCCCCTCTTGGGGACAGGCCTTCCAGCTGTAGGCCCTGAGTGGAGGGATCTTTTTTTTTTTTTTTTAACTAAAACAACTGACAATTTTATTTACTTTTTCACAATATTAAGTGAGAGCTGCACTGTGTTTTTTAATCCCACTTTCCCCCTCCAAAACTATTCTCTGTTCGGAAAGGGGAAGCCTTCCTTGTCATGCAGCTAGAAAACGCTCAGGCTCAGCACCGTGATCTCCTGGTGGAACAAAACTTTCTGCTCTTATCTGTCTGACCGAGTCATGCCAGGTTGAGTGGACACCATCATAGGGCGTCTCATCATTGGAGGCCCAGGCAT